TGTGTAAGATGTGGTAGTGCTTTATAGAGGTATCCATTGAGACCGGCCTCTCGTGTTTAATGTGAAGTGCTTTTGCTCCCCATGCAGCATATTGATAAGCAATAGAATGTGCCCCTGCTCTTCTTCACAAAACCAACATGAATGTTGTGAGAATAAAAGCACATATGTTTCCTCACGCATTAACAACACAAGAATAATGAACCAAAGAGGATGTGAAGGAAGAATTCTTATACATGATTTGCTAATGGAAACCATCAAGGAAGACTCTGTTAAGACTACAACCCACAGAGACACTACTGCAGCCTTTTACATAAAGTACCTCTGCAGTGACACCTGCCAAAAAAAATTAGTTCCACTTCAACCTGGAATGATTCTGCAGTTAATGCCTTTAGTCAGAGTTATTGTTTTATGTTAAATGATGGCTCTTCCTCAGTTTTGACTTTTGAAATTTTCTTTATAATGTAGATATCTTTGTTGGTAGAGTGGTTGTCTTAGCACGCATGAAGCCCCAAGTTTAATCATTAACAGAAAGCAGAGTGAATGTGGAGACAAAACCAGAATCCTAACACTTGAGACACAGACATAGAAGGATGCCAATTTCAAAGTCATATCAGTGATATGATGAGTTTGAGGCTGCATTGGGTTACATGAGACCTTGTACAAAATTAAACGCCAAAGGGTGCCATACAAGAAAAATATATATGTTAGCTAACTTTGTTCTTAAAATGTTGCATTACCATAAAGTAACATATATATAGTTTTGATATATATATCAAAACTAGTAGAAATACTCCTCAAAGAACAGCAATACTTCCTTTGAAATAACACTGCAAAGGGAATACAAGTTTAAATCTTAGATGTGCAGATATTCAAAGAATTGAGATCAGGATAAATTACTTTTGTTATTGTTTGGTTTGTCTAGTATCTTTTGTTTTTTATGTCTGTCTTGTTCCATTTTAATTAATAATGGAATATCAGTTGTGAAGAAAAAGATAACCATGCAACAATTCACAGATTCACAGGCAAGGTAACTAGGAGGACCCAAGGGGTAACACATGGATCTCACAGAAAAGGGAAAAAGAAGAGCTCCTGTGTGGAAAAAGGCAGATTAGGACAAAAAACTTGAGAGGGCCAGTTGGGGAGTGGGCAGAAGGTAGAGTACTTGAAAGAGATGAGTAGAAATGGGTGCTTTTCAGTGACAGGTAGAATCCTGATGCAAGGGAAACTGCCATGAATCTATGAAAGTAACCCACAGTAAGACTCCCATCAATAGTGGATATGTAATCTGAACTTGCTATCTCCTGTGATCAGATTCGTGACTACCCAAATTTTTATCAGAGAGCCTACATTCAGTAACTGATGGAAAGAGATGTACAGCCAAACATAAGGCCTAGCTCAGGGAATTCTGTTGAAGAAAGAGAGAAAGTGTCACAGGAACCAAAGGGGTCAAGAACATTGTAAGAAAATCCAAAGAAGGGCTGAAGAGATGGCTCAGAGATTAAGAGCACTGCCTGCTCTTCCAAAGGTTCTGAATTCAATTCCCAGCAACCACATGGTGGCTCACAACCATCTGTAGTGGGGTCTGGTGCCCTCTTCTGGATGGGGTCTGGTGCCCTCTTCTGGCCTGCAGGCATACACACAGACAAAATATTGTATACATAATAAATAAATAAATAAATAAATAAATAAATAAATAAATAAATAAATATTTTTTTTAAAAAAAGAAAATCCAAAAAAAATTAATCTAACACATAGAAACTTACAGATTCTGAACCAACAACTAGAAAGCCTGCATGGGATCTATCTAAGCCCTTACAGATATGTGACATTTGTATAGCTTGGTTTATTGATGTGACTCTTAAAAATGGGAGCAGGGACTGCCCCTCGTGTCTTAGTAGCTCCTGGGAACCCATTCCTCATTCTACATTGCCTTCCCCAGCCTAAATACAATGAGAGAAGAGTAGTCTTACTACAACTTTATATGCCATTCTTTGTTGATTCCCAAAAGAAGACTGATCCTTTCTGAACAAAAATAGTAGGAATGGACCTTGATGCGATGTTGGGAGGAGATGAGAGAAGAGTAGGAAAAAGAAACTGAAGTTGTGATATAAATAAATAAGTAGAAGAAAGAAATTGCAATGATCTCCCTTGATTTGTACTTTCTATAGTCAAATTATTTGTCAACCTATCTGATCTACTAGATACAAATGATAGAATCTCCTCTTTGTATTTTTTTCAGGAGGAATTTGTTACCCACAGCAAGGAAAAATTCTTTACTTCATCAATCATTTTTCCTAATGTATCTGCCTCTGAATCAGTCATTATGATATCATCCATATAATGATAAATTTTAAATTGAGGAAATTGTTTACAAATAATTTCTAATGACTGTTGTACAAAATATGGATATAGTATTGAGTTATTTACTTTCCTTGTGGGATAACTTTTTTGATATACTCTAAGAGGCTGAATATTATTATTTGGCACTGTAAAGTCAAAATTTTCTTTTCCTTCTTCTTGCACAGGAATAATATGAAAGCATATTTTAATCAATCACTGTAAAAGACCATTCCTTACATCATAAAGAAGGCCAGGGAATTCAAGAATGCAAGATTAATGGGTGAATCACCTTATTTCTGATTCTTAAATATGTAACAATTCCCCATTATCAGAATTCCTATTAATAAAATTAAAAGAAAAAATTTTTAAGTGACTTATTCTTCTATATGTTAATTTTAGTTGTTCCTATAGCAATTGTTCTATGACTTTATTTTTTTCCGTTTTATTAGGATATTGTTCCAACCACCAAGGTTTATGCTTCTTGAAACACAGATTACATAAAATTCTGTCAGTGAATTGCTAAAATTTAAATGAAATTTATATTCTTAAAAAAAGGGAGACGGGGAGGAAAATGGGAGGCGGGGAGGAGGCGGAAATCTTTTTTTTTTCAATAAAAAATTATATTTAAAAAAAAAGAAAAGAAAAGAAAAAAAACTACACAGGAAGTAAGTGTTCATTTTATAGTTTAATTATATAGTTTAGCAAGGAGTCCTTACAGTGTTCTGTTGTCATAATGTGACTGTGAGCATGTGAGCATAAGGTGTCTCTAGGTTTAAAATAATAAAATCATCCTGAAAAAGAATAAGGAATGGATAAGAAAGAATGCAAGAACTATGAGATGTAATCATGTAGACATGGGACAGCCATTGCAGTCATGATCCCAAAGGTGCTTACTCTGGGCGCCACACAGGAAAATCGTCAGCAAGCAGTCAATCAAAGATCAGAGAGTACCTATGCACTTCTACATCTCTATACTAAACTGTGAGCCACTGGTGATTCTGGGACAGTGCCAGGCATTTTCTTCAGCTGACACCTACTGATGAGATCCTAGTGCCCAAGGGATAGCTGCAATCAATGGACACATAGATGGCTATGGGTCATAGCAATGAATCCAAAAGCAAAACAAAAATAAAATACATGAATGGAGTTCTGTTTGTGTGTTGTGTGAGTGTGATATTTTGTGAATGTAGTAAGGGATAGTAAGGGTGGGAAACAATAAGAGGGCAAAGACTATATCAGATGTAATCATCTTATTGCAGATATTGTCAAATAACATACTTAATAAAAAAGGGTGACAGTATAGTGGAGTGTTAAATCTATAAATACATTGGAGATAATTTGTTCTGAAAAAGATACCGGAACCTACACATATGTACACATCAAAGTATGTGGTCAGACATTAGCCATCCTTTCCTGTAATCATATGATTTCAGGAGAACATGATACAGATATGTTTCGTGTTGTTAGATAATTTATGTTATGACAACCTCTTTAACTTATTAGAATATACATACCGGCTGAATTTATCCATCAGCTTAAGAAAGGTTGGCATGATAATCAAAAAGTTTGAATTCATATCTGTTTATAAATGAACTAGCCATCCAGCTATTGTAAACATGGTTACATACAGTTTATTCAGTAAAGGAAGCAGTATACCAAATGATATATAGTATAAAATGTAATAAATATCATATTATCAAGTGTTTAATTATTACCTAACTGGCCTCGACAGTTACTTCATCAAATAATATAAAATCATGATCATGAAAATAATTTTTTAACTAAGAAAAGTATATTAAAATATTATAAACAGATTGTTCTTTTAGGAGAACAATAAATAAAAAATATTTAGTAAGTCATAAATAAAAATATTCTGAATATATAAGAATAGTTAGGAATTGAAAAGTAGAAGAGATATAACTATATGAGGCAACTAACGTTATAATTTGATGTTTTTAGAATTTAGAATTCTAAGTGGATGCAATTTCACAAATATCTTTAATATCTTCTGTTATAAAGACAGAGTTAGGATTAGCATAGAAATTCATATTT